TCACCGTGTTAAGTCTCTTTATATCAAGGAATCAGGCAATGTGAGTAAAGTGGAACCTACTCATTTTGTTTTGCTTTTTAAAACTTCCCTCTCATAAACTGATTGGCCTAGATCTAGTAAACCAAGAGTCTAAGACAGTTGACACACTTCTTGTCAGCTGAGTGGGCTTTTTGAGAAATGACCTGAGATGGAGACTGTAATATTTTCAAGGTCCCACACACAAATGACACTGATAGAAAGTTAGTAGCTACATTAAAACATAAATAAGCACAAATCACTTTTAAAAGACCATATGCAAAAGGTCTTTTAAAAGTCCCACCACTGCAGTTTTGCCAGAGAACCGAATTTTACATATTATCTGGACTACTTTATTTTCTGTCTCCCCCATCCTCACTATAGCAAAGAATGAATCCATCCTCTCTGGTCTTTCAGCTTTCAGGAACCAAGGCTCTGCAGGGAGTCACACCTGAAGGATGCAGCTTTATATTGGAGGCCTAGAGGGTTTGGCCATTCTATAAACCTTCCAGTTGAACCCTCAGCCAGTTGCCCCAAGCCCTTCACAAACAAGATCCTGAAGATGGAGCCACCTGCTTAATTCAAAATAAAGTCACATGGTGGTGGTGGTGGTACACTCATGACACTTTTAAGTTGAAGAGGGCATTTGTGCTACTGTTTGGCTTATTTGTTTGGAGCTACTTGCAAACTTTTTTTGTAAGCTTAGTGATAGGCATATTTCTTTTAAAATTTCATTCAGTTTTAGCAAAAAGGAAAACACACAACGCCAGATTCCAAGTAACTATAGATCAGTAATAGAGATCACACTACGACTTAGACACTGAATATGTATTTGGAGTGATGATTGGAGGAGGGATAATTTGACTGGGTTACAGGAACATTTCCCAGAACCCTCAAGCACTGGTGTTCTCATCCAAAGAGCCTGAGAAAATAGCCCCTCAATTAAGATTAATATCAGAGCACACAGAGAATAATGGCTTCATTGAAAATTCAATTATAGGCCAAACTCTTTCTCTCGGGTTTGAAATGCCTTCTCAGTCTCATGAAGCTTTTGACATCAGCGAGGAAAGGCAAGAAAAGTACAGATGAGACAAGCCCAAGAGCAGATCATATGGGACCCCCATAATCTTTTTACAATTGGAGAGAAAAATCCAAATCGAATAGCTAGAAGTTGGATTTTTTTAAGGTTCTCTTTGTGTCTCTGTGTCAAAGCAGGTCACAAGGGATTTTGAAGCTATCTGTTTGGAGAGAATATAGTTTAAACCCTTGATTTTAGAATCATCCTGGGATTTTCATATTGTCTAATTCTCTATATCAAGATATCCCCCCATTTCAAGTTTTGGGCAAATGGCATATGATTTAAGATGAACCTCCTCAGACACATGTACATTCTGTCTCTTTGCACTTCACATTTATCCTCATGGTGACAGACTTGATAACAAGCTGGCTTAGCTATTTCAATCACTCTGCTTTAGCATCACACACACACACACAAAAAAAAACACTAACACACACATATATGCACATACATACAATACTAACAGCAGTGAGAACATACTACATACTGACATAGCAGCCCTTTCCCAGAACTTTCTCAGGACAGACTAGTTTAAACACAACTGTTCCTCATGTACTATTGATTATATCTGGGAAAGCATGAAAACAAGGCAGAAAGCCATGTCCAGATTCAGGTACACTGAGGACAGTATTCAGCATCTCCTTTCACCAGATCGGGTTTTACAGCTATGTTCTGACATCCAAAAAGAATAAACATGTCTAACTGAATGTAAATGTCTGGCTCAGGAGGCACAAAATCACATCCAAGAACAACCCAAGGAACAAAATGCACTGTAGATTTCTTCCAATTAACCCACAAATGTATTGCTTAGGTTTCCAAAGCAATCTCAAAATAGCGACTATTAGTCTTAAAGGGTCCAAAGTCCTCATGGCTTGCTGTTGCAAAGTACCATAGTGTTGTGGAATATTATTTTAACTAGTCAAATATGTGTTACATTTGTTTATGCTGCAGAATATTATGTTAATTATGTGAATGTGTGTTACATTTGTTTTTGCTGATTTTGTTAATGATGTAAAGATGTTTTACATTTGTTTATGCTGCATCTGTTTAATTATGCAAAGATGAATTAATGGTTCACCTTGCTTGCCTAAAGCACATGATTGGTCTAATAAAAAGCTGAATGGCCAGTAGCTAGGCAGAAGAGGGACAGGCAGTTCTGGCAGGCAGAGAGATAAGTAGGTGGAGAAATCTAGGCTCTAGGAGGAGGAGAACACAAGGGAGAAAGACAGAGAAGTGCCCTGGACAAGAAGCCAGGCAGCTGCCATCCAGAGGGATCCAAGAAGCAGTGAAAATAGGATACACAGAAAGAAAGAAAGAAAGAAAGAAAGAAAGAAAGAAAGAAAGAGAAAGAAAGAAAGAAAGAAAGAAAGAAAGAAAGAAAGAAAGAAAGAAAGAAAGGTAAAAAGCCCTTAGGCAAAAATAGATGAAGAGAAACTGGTTAAGTTCTAAGAGCTAGTGTGTGTGTGTGTGTGTGTGTGTGTGTGTGTGTGTGTGTGTGACAAAAAAAGCAATGATCCAAGGAAGGTTGTTTGACTTCAGAAAAATATCAAAAGAACATGTAAATAAAAGCTAGAAAGCATATACTAAATGTTGACAGAGCAGTCCATACCCAGAACTTTCTCAGGGTAGACAATTGCTGTGATGAAACTCCATGACGAAGAGCAATGTGGGGAGGAAAGGGTTCATTTCACTCACACTTTCGTATAGCAGTTCATCAAAAGCAGTGAGGGCTAGAACTCAACAGAGAGGAAGCTTATGCAGAGCCTATAGAGTGCTGCTTACTGGCTTGCTTCCTATGGCTTGCTCAGCCTGCTTTCTTATAGAACTCAGGAACACCAGCCCAGCAATGGCACCACACACAATGGGTTGGGCCCTTCCATATCAATTGCTCATTAAGAAGATGCCATTCAGGCTTTGCTACAGCCCAATCTTATGGGGCATTTTCTCAGTTATGGTTCCTCTCTTGCTGATGACTCTGGCTTTTGTCAAGCTGACATAAAACTAGCCAATACAAGCCCCAAATGCTGAAGCTTCAGCATAGAAAGCCTCAGGCCTGGGTCCTGCCATGAAAGAAACCAGAAGAAACTCAGAATTTCCATAAATATATTTGTCTTAATGAGATGTGGACAGGGTATCCCCAGAAAACCCTCACAGCTATGTGCCTGCTGAATCCCTCTGGGTACCATTCCCCTTTGCATCTAGAAAGTGCCTCTACCTCATCCAGTTCTTTCTCATAATGCTACCTTGTTAGTGAATACTCCTTCTCAGCATCCCCCAGATACCTAACTTAGTCATATCATATAACAGCATTTGATATTTGTATATCAAATTGTTTGTCTGCTTACCAGCTATGATTTGAGCAGAATTTGTTCTATTTCCTTCAATCCTATAATTTCAATTTCTAGAATACTGGCAAACCCAGTGATGATGTTCAATAACTGTTTTTGAGTTATTGACTGAATTAATAAGTAATGAATAACTGGAATTATTAGAAAACAAAGAGTCATCCAGGAATGACATCTAATTGATCTTCCCTACTTCAACTTGCTGGTTGACTGAAACCAGCTCAAGAACACAGAGCTTGCATTTCATTTGGCCACAAGAGGGTGCTACTGATCAGTTTTTAGATTTTGGGTTTTTTGTTGTTTGTTTGGTATTTTGTTTTGTTTTCTGTAGTGTCATAGTCAAATATTCAGAGACTACTCATACTTTCTACTTTCTTATGTCTCATAAAAGAAACCTGAGATAGGATCATGTCTGCAGCCAAAACATTCAATGTGCTGTCTTTACTCCAATGTTGTTGAACAAAACTGTTAAATCTATATCAAGAATGAGCCCTAAAAGAAAAAAATGAAAACAAAACAATAACAAAACCTCCTCCAGAAATCAAGAACGTATGGAATGTGCTGAAAGATACCACCAAAAAGGCTCCTCCGCTGTGGTAACTTCTGTAACTACAGAGATAGCACCAGCTGAGAAGGTGACTTTATGCTTTCAGCGTGTCCTTCTCTCTTTTTGTCCCCTCAGCACTTTGTCAGTCCTCCTGAAAGTACACTCTTATACCAGGTCCTAGCCTCGTGGTTTTAGTTGTCACCCTCTAGAAGCAATGGAAAAGGGGTAATTCATTTTTTTCCCTAAGTCCTGTTTTGTAATGTCACTGTGATGAGGGGCTGTGTGGTGACTGGTCAGAAATAAAAAGGACAATTGTCTTAAGGTCAGAGCACATAGGAATGACAATGGCCCGTAGAAGACAGGGGGCTACAAGAAACCCAGAGATGGTTCTAGGAGCTTTTGTTAGACAGTGGGAATGGCTGTCTCCAGCTGGGAGAAATTAGAGTGTAGGATTTGATGATAAATCAAAAATATTTGCTTAGCTATATCTAAAAGTACATGTTTTTATTTGGTTGTATCTAGAAACATTTTATGAATTTTACTTTTGTTAACACAAAAAGTTATAGGAAGAGAATGTTATTAATATGTTATTAATATTAATTATATTAAGTCTTATATTAAGTCTATTTCCGTTAATGCCCTCATGCATGCCTCCCTAAATGACTGAGAATCTAACAATGAACATGTGATTTTATTGTTTCTTTAATAAAATAAAGCAAAAAATGGAAGTCTCAGGGGAGTTTTTATTTTTCTTTTGTCTGAAGAGAATGGGGAACTTGTGAATACATAGGAAGGGCCCAGAATATACAGAACAACACAATGAACTCTGGTCAAAGGCATTCTGTATTTGACAGAGAGACACTTCAGAAGAGAATTAAATATAGAGTTCATCTGTCACATAGAGGCTCTGAGTCATAGGCTTCCAGTTCCTTCCTGGCCCGCATCACCAACGCAGGGCCACAGCCACGGCCCCTCCATTGGGGGTGCAATGCGAGGCCTGGCAGGTCACCGGACACTAGTGTGGTAGTACATCTTCTACCTCTAGAGTCAGGAAGGGAAACACTATGTCCCTCAGCCACTTCAATGTGCTTCTGCTCATCAGCATGGGCAGAGTGTCCACGAGAAGATCTGGGTTTATATACTGCAGGTGAAAGACCATATAACCCAATAACCGAAGGAAGATGATGACCATGAAGAAAAGGTACCTGAAGTGCCTGCGAGGAGGAATTCATCATTAGTATAACAGAACAGAACAACTTAACATCAAGCAATGGGAAGTGAACTTGTAAATGGATGGTGAATTGCTTTCTTTTGGCAAAACTCTGGGGGTACTTAGGGCATGAGAGTAGAGATGGTGAATGCAGATAACGGAACACAGAAAACCAGCGAATTAGTGTAGGGAACACCCTAACCACGCCTCCTAGGGGCTGGCTATAGGTGTACCTGGCCATGCCCCCTAGGGCGTAGTCAGGGGGCAAGCACATGGGAGCCCCTTCTTCCCTTTCATCATCAGCATGCTCTACTTACTCCGTTACTGGCTAGGTTGCTCTGTAAGTGAGGCATCTTCCTAATAAATACCCTAATATCTTTACCTGACTCCATATTGGTAATTCGCCCTTTAAATTAGTGGTCAAGCATTGAACATTTCCTTTAGGACATGTAAGTTTTCCGAAAGAATAGATGTCCTTCTGGCACTGTACATGGGGCAGGACTTTTGGAGGTTAACGGCAAATGTTTAAGATGGTCGCATTGTGAATATCATGACCAGTGATGCTCTTCATGTCTCCTATAGCAAGCAATTCTAGAAAACTGAAGGTAAGTCTCCTTATTTCAAAAATTTGAAAAAGAAAAAACAGAATTCAAGAGATCTCCCCGCCTATAATTTCTCAACCCACAGTAAAACAACAATGGAAGTTAATGTACCCTGTCCTCTCTTTCCAAGAGTGTAGCAAAGGTTTGGGATGCCAGGTCCTGAAAAACCAAAAGGGAGCATGCTGGGGAACAGAGCAATTAAAACAAAATGTAGCCCACAGCTTCCATCCCACATTTCTTGGAAGTACCCACTAATTCCTCTAGCTATTTAGAACCAGGTAAGTCTGCTGTCCAAGGTGTATATAGGAACACTGGTCAGAGAACTCTGAGACTGCATGACTGACTAATGCTAATACTCATTCTTTTGTCCTGTATCAAGACCACTGCACAGTGAAAGTGGCCTGGACCAACTAGGTCGGGCATGACTCTGCCACTTACCTAAGCAAAAACTTCCTCTCCTGTTTTTTGATGATGATCTTCTCCTGTGGAAAGTAATGAACACTGTGTTCATCAGGAAATCTCAAAGAAAATAGTTTAGTGTGTGGGGATAGGGGGCTCCAAGGAGAGCCCTTGCAGTTAGGCCAGCCAGTTTTGTAACCTGGCTCTGCCTTTTTCCAGATGCCATGGTATGGCCTAGGCAACAGAAGCCCACTTTCTAGCTCCAGGATTTTTAAAAAGAGGAGGAGAGTAAGAGAGATGTCCCAGGAAGAAGACAGACTAGAGAAAAGCCCAAGTGTGGACAGACAAGACTCACCATGTCATTTTGAATGGTCTCTTCCAGAGTTGCCCCAGCTTTCACTACTTGGGAGGAGTCATTCTGGGCTTTGGATCTGGATTTAAAAATGACAACAGAAAAGATCAGAGCCAGTTACCATTTGAGACAACCTAAGGATCTGCTCCAAGAGCTTTTCTTAAATCATGAAACACCTGTGACATGGTTGAAACAGCATGCAAAGGCATTGGGAAACATGACTGATTCTTTTCCAGTTTGCAAATTTAGCATACAATGGGTTTCATTGTGGCCTTTTTATATACATGATTTACTATATTTTCTTCTACTATATTCCCCTTTCCAACTGCTTTCCTGGTGCCTCTTACTTTCTCTCTAATTGATTCCCTTTCTGCCCACAAAGCCCCCAACTTCTGTCTCCATGTCACACGTACTCCTCCTTTGGGGGTGTGTGTGAGAAATGAACTGAGGAGCTTACATGTTATAGGCAAATATTCTACCACTGAGCTGTATCCCAAGCCCACTCTGTCCTGGTCAGGGTTTTTATTACTGCAATGAAACACCACGACCAAAAGCATCTGGAGGAATAAAAGGTTTATTTGGCTTATACTTCCACATCACTGTTTATTATGAAGGAAGTCAGGACAGGAACTCAAACAGGGCAGGAACCTGAATGCAGGAACTGATGCAGAGGCCATGGAGGATTGCTGCTTACTGGTTTGCTTCTCCTGGCTTACTCAGTCTGTTTCCTAATAGAACCCAGGACCACCACCCCAGGGATGGCACCACCCACAGTGGATTGAGTCCTCCACCATCAATCACACATTCCATTCTTAAGAGAAAGATTATCTGTACTTAAACTCTGCCTAAATCCCTGGCTGACTTTCAAAATGAACTTCTCAGGGCAGTCTGAGCATCCCAGCTGAGGTTACAAGACCCAACTGGAATGTGAGCTGTTACCAGAGACACTGTGGCTCTAACCTAACACCACCATAATATCCAGAAACTCCCCAAGTCTGTCTCTCTTCCTTTATAGTGGCCTAAATTCTATTTTAACTGCTCCATACATACAATACACACAATGTGTCGGCTTGATGTCAGGTCATAAGGTATAACATTGGGGGAAATAACTTCCTGCCATTCTCCTCTTCAAGTGCCAAATCTTCTCTAACATCTGCCTGGTTTTCTTCTCTCCAAAGCCTTCTGGTCACTGGTAGCTTATTTGTTTTATTTAGAATTGTTTTCTGTTACAGAATTAATCCAGTAAACTTATACATCATTTTCATGGGTATTTTCTTTTATAGTAATCAATAAAGGGGTAAAGGGAGAATTGGTAAAGACTTCTGGCTCTTCCGTGATGAAGCAGTTTGTGTAAGACCAGCCCACTTCCAAAAGTAACTATAAAAGTGGACAAAACACAATACTGAATGTATTGGAGATGACAGTCAGGAGTCAAAGGGAAACAAGTCCTCGAGTCAAGAGAAGCACACAGAACAGCTGCTTGTTCACCAAGGCCTTCCCTTAAGAACATGTGGCCACTTGTAGTGCAAGAAAACAGAGTCCAAGTAGAAAGCAGTGACCTCAATTGACTGAGGAGGTAGGGTCCAGAGTTCAAGACTGTCAAAGCAAATATCTAAATGGAATTCCCTGGCAATATGGGAGCTGGCTCCTAGTAATCTGTGTGTAACTCAAGACTCAAAAAATAAAATAAAAAAGCAATGTTAATGCTTCTATACAATTCAGTGTATAGAAGCCTGTGTATTTCTATATTGTAGCAGTTATTAACCATAAAATCAAATGAGCATAACATTTGCAATATCAAAAACTAGCCGTATAATTAAAGATGTATAAGGATACTATGTAGAATGGCCATACATTAAAGGAAAGTTAAAGAAGATCCAAATAAATAAATGGATAAAGTTGGAATAACTTTTAGCTAGACATTAACTTCCAAATTTTATTTATAAATCCCAATAATTTCCGTCAAAATCTCAGTAAGTTTTTTTTTTTGTTAGAAATTGAAACTGATATATTTGTATTGAAATTCATTGGTTCAAATACAGCCAAAATAATCTTAAATGAGAGTGATAAACTTGCAGACTATATCTACCATATATTAAGGCTAAGTATAAAGCTAAAATAACTAAAACAGTTCAGTATAGGTAAAAGGACAGAGGTTAACTGTACACAATAATGCATGTAAAACCAGACCGACATGCATCAAGTTTCCCAATCTAGAAAACCATAAGGCACCAATGGAAATAAAACAACTCTTTAAACTTTTAATTACTTAGAAGTTTAAAGAATATACAGGGCTAGTTGGACACAGGAAGGATAGATTGCAGATAAGTACAGGAATAAACAATAAATAAAATATCTGGGGAAATCTTTTAAGAACTGAACTCAAGGCCTGAGGAAAACTATAAGCAAATAGGAATGGCACCTTTATCCACTGAGCCATCTTCCAGCCCAGAATTACAGACACTATAGAAAATTGCTTCATCTAGTACAACAAAGATATGTGTACCCAATGACCCCTCAAAAATAGAAAGATACATTTATCAAATGGCATACATGAAGATGTTTAATAGCAAATTTTAATATCCCCAAACTTGAAATAGTCAAAAGTTCATCAATGACAGATTAGTTGTGTCATATTCATGGAATGGAATATTATAAAGAGCAAGTCACATGATAGAATAAGCCTCAGCAAAAACAGACATAGACAATATAGACTGAATTTATAGAAAAAATTGAGGATAAAGTTTTTAAATGATCAGACTAGTGGTTACCTTTGCAAGGGGTATTGATGAGGTAGAGGTCCAAGGAACTTCTGGGGCTTATGATACTCTATATGTAGATCTGAGTGGTGCTAATGTGGATATACACAGAAAAAGTTAACAGCTATATATTTAAGATGTGTGCAGCCTATGCATATTGTGTATGACACAATTAAGAATTATAAACAAAAAGTGTCAAGTTCTGTGAAACACATCTATAGATCTGTGGTCATTCCATTGTGTCAATGTCCTGAGCAAGATTGTGATGCACACAGATGCTAGTAATTTCTGTATCTTCCATGTAATATCTCTTTGCTGTGATTTTTCATCTCTGAACATAGCTTGAGTAGTGTTGGGGACACTGCATTCAACTAAGGATATATGAAAAGAGCATCATAAAAGCATGTCAGGTCCCAATTACTGGGTGGGAGACCAATCTGAATGCTGATGAGTATTCAGTCTGGAGCATGAGTAGAGGTTTCCAGGGATAACCGGCTGTAGAACTTTTACTCAGTGACACCATTGTTCTAATGCTTTGCCCTGCAGGGAACTGCCTGGGGCAGGGACTGCAATCCACTAAGCAGAGTTTGTTTCCCAAACTTACATTTCTTTTTCAAGCAGCATCACTTCTTGCTTCTTCTCCATCTCCCTCAGAATTTCTTGGTATTTCTTCCCATGGAGGAGGACATCATAAACAAGATGTTTTGTCTTTATTTCAAAGTCACTGATAGGAATATTCCACTAAAATGAACTCCTAACATCCCAAACACTTCACACAACAGAGTGCACAAAGTAGGGGGTGTTCTAATAAAAAACAAGTCAGAGGTACTAGTGACAGGATGGGCATATAAGAACAAAAGTATCTCTTCCAGACCTTGATCATATTCAAATTCATATCTGATTTGGATTAACTGAATTCCCAGATCATGTAACCTAGCTCCCTGAAGCCTCAGTGTCCTCCATGGAACTCCTCAGACTTACTAGACAAATGGGTTGAGGAAAACACTAAGCAATGGGTTGAGGAATCCTATATGACAGGGTTCAACACATTGTATAGAACACTCATATTTGGTGGTCATTGTGTTCAATAAAAGGCATTTCCCCAAGGCATATGGTAGCCTAACAAGAAAATGTTTTTCTCCTGACTTGGGGAGATCTACCTCCATTCTGACTTCCCCAGTAACATTGTACCTTTATGTAGGGAGCCTGGTCTTCACAGAGCTGATTTATAGATTGGTAGTCACTTTCCATCTAGAAAAAGAAGCAAGCAAACTTCATGAGTTTTAGCTGCTTCACTGGGAGCCTGCCTTGTACATTGGACATTTTGCTGGTTACTTGGCAACTCCTTACTTGAAGGGAAACAGCCACCTTACAAAAGGTGACCTCCTCATTCAGGCACAGGACCTAATTTTGAGTGGAGGAGGGGGAAAACTTTACCAGCATTGTCCTGTACCTCTCTGAAAAATAGGAATGAATGTAACAGGACTATTAGATTTGGGATACTACAAAGTATTTGGGAGCAGATCAGTGTTTTAAAATGGCCAGTATTTAATGAAAGTTTTTATTTTCCCACCTGACTGTGAATCAGAAATTCACATGCCAGATTTTGCTGCTCCACCCATGCCTGAAAACCTTTCTGAAGAGCCTCAGGCTTTCCCTCCTATTGATGCCCTAGGTAGACAACAAAGTGGAAAAGGCACCTGTCTAATCTAACCTTGGCTATTTCCTCCTCTTGTTGTACACAGGACTCGGTTAACTTTTGTAGTTTCACCTAGGGAAGATGGTAACAGCAGAAAATGAACAGCATTCCTTTGTGCAAGGACAACGCAGGCTAGCAGAAAGCAAACTCAAGAATGGCTGTGGAGTATTGAGGACAAGTAACAGTTAAGGGAGGACATGGTCACTACCCATTTTGCAGATGAGAAAACAAAGGCACATATGTTAGATATACAACAAAGTCTTAGAAGGGCAGAGATGACATGTTAAACCTTAGTAGGCAGACTCCCCAGTGAATGTGCATTCTTCCTCCTCCTCCTGACCAAATTCTACCAGCCTTTTGTCCCCACCCATTCAGGATGGTGCACACATGCTGTCTAAATCACATGAGGGTCATAGGAATCATCCCACTTTTTCAGAGAAAGGTAGACGGTGGGGTGCTTGGTGGTTGGCTCAGCCACATGACACACTTGCTCCCTAAAACTTTGAAGAACTTCTCAATAGGCTTTGCCTCTAGTTTGCTTTGTTCACTTAACAAATATCTATTGGACATCTGCTATATGCTAAAATGTTCTAGACATTGGGGTGCAAACAATATAGTTTTACAAATTAATAGTCTCAGTTGCTTTACTTTATAGTAGAGGAGAAAGAAACTGAAATTTGAAAATAAAACTTTCTCTACGAGCTGCAGCTTGGTGACCCGTATAAGATTGTTGATACATCCTTCTACAACTTCGAGAAGTAGCATTTTTCTTTCTACTTGAATGCCTGCACTTGTGTTGGCCTCATTTAGTAAATTTTTGGAATGTGTTCCATTAACTGATGAGAATTTTGAACCATTCCCTCCACCTGAAGGCAATGTAGGCACTTCTGCTTCTTGTGTGAACACTAGTGGTAGGATGACCCATGCCACCCCTGCTTCTAGTGTGAATACCAACGTTAGGGTGCCCTGTGGGAATAAAAGACTCTGGCTCTTCTCTAATGCACACATGGATGTGCCTAGTGTCACACCTAGGACAGTCTATGAAACAGTCTCCCAGAACCTAGGTCTCTGATACATGTGCTACAATAATTCCCAGTTTGTTATTCTACTCACCTTCAATTCTGCTATTTTATTTTTCAGGGTTTCTGGATCAGGGATAGTATTCTTATATCCTCTTGAAATCTGAAATATCATTCCAATAACTGTGAGCTCATCAAGGCAAATGGATGAGGTAGGATAAGGTTAGACTCTGGGGTCATAGTCAGCAGAATGATTGTGGTTATTAATTCAGGTACTGAAACATCCCATGGAAATATGTCTCCTTGAACCTGTTGAAGTTTCCTAACTCCATACTGAGTGGATGGTGTGTGAGTGGATTGTGTGTGTGTGTGTGTGTGTGTGTGTGTGTGTGTGTGTGTGCAGCTGTCTTTAGCATCCAGAAGGTAGGGTCAAATCTCTTGGGAGCTGGAAATAGAGGTGGTTGTGAACCACCTGACCTGGGTACTGGGAACAGAACTCAGGTTCTCTGTAAGAGTGTGTTCTTGGAACCACTAAGCCCTGAGTGGGCATTCTTTTCTGTCCTCAAGACCATTGTAGCTCCTTAAGGAGAGGAGGAGAATGGGCACAGTAATAGGAGTAGGGGAAGAAGTGGTTAATACATTGCTCACTTTGCAGTTCATTCATCGCCCAATGACCTGTCATGAGCAGAGGACAAATACTGGTGCATTTGTGTCTGAAGACTCTGAAGGTGATGGGGTGTGGAGCACAGAAATGTTACTGCCTTCTTCTTGTTCTTCTAACTAGAGAGTTCAGGAAGATAACTCTATTAGGAGTCTTTAAAAATTAGTCACATTTCAAGGATGGACTCTGAGTGTGTGAGAAATCCCTTCATTTGTATGTATTATATAATCTATATTTATGTGGTCGCATAAAATTGATTAATATATATATATACTATTAATATTATTATAGTATTAATTAATAATAATTAATATTAATATATATATTCTGAATAGCCTCACAACTTACCTCTTATGTCCCCTGCCCATTCCACCAGCCTTTCTTTTGTAATGACAATGTTTTAGGAAATGGGGTACCTTACGACCTGAGGTATCTCCTTACCTTCTTCTGAAGTTCCATGATATTTTTGCTTAGGGTCTTATTCTTTTTCTCCTGTAGGAAGAAGAAATTTAAACAGATTCTGCCATCAACCTTTTCTTTTACCAAGAGCACATAAGTAATATGTAGAGTGTGCCAGTTAAAAAAAAAAGTGCACCCTGGTCTGACATGGTGGATCTGGGTCAGAACCAACGTCTTGTCCCCAAGCCTAGTGCATCAGTGCCACAGCACTCTCCCAAGCAGCTGTGATTTCTGTAGCCACAGAGGCAGAGCATGGGCAGAGCCTCTGGGGAAAAGAGCAGAGTGATCAATGAAGAAGGCATTGATCATTTAGAATCTCTTTTGGAAGTCTTCTCACCAGCTTTGCTGTCTCCAGCTTCAGGTCCTTCAGGGCATTCTCCTTCTGTATTATGATCTCACTGAAGTCATCCTTCTCTGGGACTCTCCCAATGGACAGGGCAATATCTTTTTCAAGACTGAAAAACAGTTACTCAGGTGTGGCTTAGTCCTAAGGAAGCGGCCACCAAAATCACACTGCCAACATCTTGAGATGCAGTAACAATAAAATGTCAACTAAATGAAGAAATAGAGTACAGAGATTTGTTTACAAAAGCTTTTTGAGGGCATCACAGTTTGTGTTTCAGGATTTAAGTAACATACTGAGATTTCCACCAAGGAAGTGAAAGCCCCTTCTGCTTCCCTCTAATCTATTGATATCACTTAAGGAGCTCTTCTTCCCTCTACTGTACAGACATCACTTGAAGAGATCATTTTCCCTCTAATGTACAGACATCACTTGAGGAGCTTCTCCTTCACCAAGGGAAAAACCTGACCTTTGTACAGATTCTTCTTTCTTCTGAATCTTTCTGAAAAGAATCTGATTGGCCTCGTCCAGCCTCTGTAGATCCTTTTCAAGGTCTGCGTTCAGGTAGTTGAGATTTTCTTTTATGGCTTCTAAACTCGATATTTCTGTTATCTCATGCCTACAGGAAAAGTGTCTGCATAACTAAACTCAGATCAGAACATTAGAATCCCAAGAAAATATCCCTGAATCTCACTCTCCAATCTCTTATTGTTTATGTGCCTAATTGGTCTTTTTTCCCATGATAAACCAATTTTTAGTGTTTCCCATAAAGTAAATGTATGTCATATATTTTAAATTTAAATATTATAAAATTAAATATTATAAGTGATACTAGAATGCAAATATTTTGTGAGCAAAAGAAAAACCATATTCTTTTATAGACATGATTGTACTCTAACTTGCTTACTTACAAAATTTTTACATGGAGAATATGGAATCAAAGCAACACTTTTAAGGCATTTAAAGACAGAAAATGAAAGTTTCTTAAGTCTTTTGTCACAAACTTGAATAGTTTCTGTTTAGTCTTCCAGAAGCATAGGTTTAGAGGAAAGAAAGGAAGGGGATGGATCTTTCCCCTAAACCAGGCCAGTGTGCTGGACAGCATTTGCAGAAAGTCCCACCATGGCAGTATGATGAAGGGAAAATGGAACTGAAATTTCTTCTAAGACTTTCTCAGGCTTCAGGAGAGACCATCCTTCACAACTGTGGTCTGGATTGCTGGAAACTTCTAGAGCAGTCATCCTTCTGGATCCCTATTGCATTACTTACCCATCATCCATTGGGTTTGGTCCAACATCTTCCATTGTTGGCTTCCTAGATGTGAATACAAACATCTGTCATAGGAAGGAAGTTCTTACTATCCAGCATGTCATTACCCAGAAAGGAGCTGGCAGAGTCAAGTTTGAACCTTCTGTATGCTCTTACTTTTACATATTCTGTTTCAACATTTTATACAAACTAAATTTCAGCAAACTAGATCATAGATTGATTTTGGGATCTCAGAACCAATCACATTTTAAAATTTCTTCTCTTTTGATCCTTTCCCTTTCCTGCTTGCACTTACTCCACTAGGCAATATTTTAAGGGATATGTGATAGACTCATGTATGCCTATTGACAAATACAAAAATAAATTATTTCTAATCTAAACCCTCGGGAAACAAAACAAAACAAAAAGAATGAAGAAAATGGCCACTAATATAGGCTAATAGAAATATTAGCCTATTACTTTCAACAAGCTCTAGAGAGTAAAGGCTGAGTTGATAGTGAAAAAGCCGATTCAGCATCACAATACAACTCCTGCGAACAATACAGAAGCATCAAATATTAAGGCAGACCCAAAGGCTGGTATTTAATAACCATTGCAGCAGCACTAAAGTTCAGAACCATGTTCAGTCTCAGGAAGACAGAATACCAAAATGCCATTCCCCTTTCACATTCCACCTTCTGCTTTAAAGCTCTTCATTTCAATACCCTTTGAAGTTCACCTCCTATTTCCTTTCCTTTAATCATTTCTGCTCCCTTTCCCCTTTCCTCCAGAAGTTTCTTTACTCACAAGAAGTCCCAAACTGTGCTAATACCTTTTTCAACACAACTTTCTTTTTTCAGCAGAGATTTCTTCTGTTGCAAACAGATTTCCTTTCCAGCTAGATGCCAGGACTGTCACTCAAGGGGTCACCTTGCTGACTGAGTCTCCACATGTAACTGGACTGGTTACTCTGGCTGGGTGGGGCATCATGTCATAGTGGGATAGTGACATCGTGTTGTCATCCCAGTAGCGAAGTGGGAGAGCCCAGAACTTCAGGGTCATTCTGGTGTCTTACAAAACAGGAATAGGTCCTATACAACAAATTTGGGCATACGTAAAACATCTGCTCTATGGAACACATTCACATCCCAAATTTCTAGACTCCACAGTGCTTATGATGACTCTCATTTCTCTTCCATGATCTCTGTGTGGTACTTTCACAAATTACTGTAGTAAAACTCAAAATGTGCATCTCCATTGAGTTATCCAAAGTGTATGAGGCAGGAAAGTCAGACAGAAGGCCAGAGGAAGCTTAACGGCATCTGAGCCTTTGTTCTTACCGTATGAGGCTTTGGGAGCTATAAAACTTATCCTCCTGCCCTGAGCTTTGGTCCTCTAGCTCACTGGGAAAGAAGAGTCAAATGTTTGGATGGTGACAGGAAAACAAAAAGACAAGAAGGCAAAACAGAAGGAAAAATGAGCGTTGGGTACAGAGACCCAACTCCACTGTCTACTCCTATAGAATTCCCTCTTTATATTTGAGGTCTTAAATTATTGCAAGAGTAGATGGAATTTAACATATCAGTGTCACAGTAAAAAGCCATCCTAGGATTCTTCTCTCTACTAAGATAAGGCAGGATACAGAATTGTAGAAATATCAATAGAGTATAAGCTAGGCATGCCCTTGTAAACAAACTCCCATCATGCTGTACTCCATGATCTAAATCAAACCTATTAGAGAGAAATTCCTTTAACTTCCAGTCCCTGGAAAGGTCTTTGACACCACTGTGCCCAGGAATGTGCCTTCCAAGCAGAGACCTCTTCTGTAACCTTATCATCCCTTCTCCACTCAGCTCCCACACTGCCACATCAATATGTTCCCAAATAACAACCAGTCCCAGTAGAATTAAGCCCTTGACTCTGTTCTCCTCTTTTGCCATTTTGTGTAATTCTCAGTCTGGTTTTCATCCTACAGTTAGGCCATAGACTGGACCCTCAAGTGTATTTTTTGAGAGGGGGAGGTTTCAAGACAGGGTTTCTCTGTGTAGCTTTGTAGAGCAGGCTGGCTTCAAACTCACAGAGAACTGCCTGACTCTGCTTCCCAAGTGCTGGGATTAAAGGCATGTGCCACCACCAGCTCCTTTGAATGGATTTAAATCATTCATTTTTCTATCTCTGCCTAGGTGTGAACACAAAATTCAACATGGCAAGAATGTTTTAAGAATAAATGGATGAATAAATGATTTATATCATTCCTATTATCTAAAACAGGAGAACAGGATCCTTTGGCTCCTTATCCTTCTAACACACATGAGACAGACACACCTGTACAGCCACATTAGTATGTGGTCATTATGGAGTGTCCCTTGGCCAAATCCTCACTGGACAGCCACATTCTCTAGGTACAACTGGTTGACAGTTGTGATGAAAGCTGTGATGAAAATATTCTTCCCACCAAACTGCATCCTCTCTTTTAAGAGCACTGTACAATTCTTTCTATGAAACCTTCCATAATGAGTCATTCTTAGCTCATCACCTCAAAGAAATAATACATATTTTGTGTGAGAACATATTTTCATTTGAAACCAAGAAGCTCAAAGCCACACTTGAAGCTCCAAATGTTTACTGTTGTACTTTACTCTCTCCTTCCCCTGTGAGATCTAGAGATCAAAATCAAGTTTCCATGTTTATATCACAAGTGTCCTTAACTGTTTAGCCATCTTGAAGGTCTCTCAATTTCAGCTACCACAGTTAACATAATGTACGTAATGTTACTCATTTACTCATGTTTCAGTTGGATTTTATCAACTTGACAAACCTAGACATACCTAGGAAGAAAGAATCTTGACACACTGCCAGAGAAGTTAGGAAACAAGGAGGACCCTAGGAGAGACATACATGGTCCCCCAGAGAAAGGGAAAGGGACAAGATCTCCTGAGCAAATTGGGAGCATGGGAGCAGGGGAGAGGGAGCTAGGAGAATGGGAAGGGGAGAAGACAAGGGTCGAAGAGGACATGAGGGAGCAGGAAAGTTGAGTCTGGGGAAGAATACAGGAGAGCAATATAAGAGATACCATAATAGAGAGAGACACTATAGGTTAAAGAGAAATCAGGCACTAGGGAAATGTCCAGAGATCTACAAGGATGACACCAATTAACAATATAAGCAACAGAGGGTCTACCATAAATGTCCTCCCTTGATAATGAGATTGATGACTAACTTATATGCCATCTTAGAGCCTTCATCTAGCAGCTGATGGAAGTAGAAGCAGACACCCACAGCTAAACTCTGAACTGAACTGAACTGGAATCCAGTTGCAGAGAGGGAGGAGTGATGAGCAAAGGGGTCAAGACCAGGCTGGTGAAACCCACAGAAACAGCTGACCTGAACAAGGAGGAGCTCATGGTCCCCAGACTGATAGCTGCAAAACCAGCATAGTACTGATCCAGACCCTATGAATGTGGGTGTCAGTGAGGAGGCCTCTTATAGTAGATCAGTACTTATCCCTAGCATAGGAATGGACTTTGAGAGCCCATTCCACATAGAGGGATACTCCCGTAGCCTAGACACACAGGGGAGGGCCAAGGCCCTATCCCAAAGGATATCACAGACTCTAAAGATCCCCATGGAAGGCCTCACCCTCCCTGGAGACCAGAAAGGGTAAGGGATTGGTAGGGTGTTATTGGGGCCAGGGGAGGAGGAGAGGGAAAGGGAACTGGGATTGACATGTAAAACAATCTTGTTTCTAATTTAAATAAAAATGGAAAATAAAAAATAAAAGAAAGAATCTTAACTGAGAAAATGCCTCTGTTCTAGATTGCAGATAAGCAACTCTATAGGGCATTTTCTTGATTAATGATTGATATGAGGAAGCTCCCCCTATTGTGGATGATGTCACCCCTGGGCAGGTGACTCTGGGTTGTTTAAGAAAGCAGCTAGAGCAAGTCATGGGGTGTAAGTCAGTACAAAGCATTCTTCCATGGTTTCTGCTTCAGTTTCTACCTTGAGGTTCTTGTCTTGAGTTTCCTCCCTGACTTTCTTTCATGATGGACTACAACTATAAGATAAAATAAACACTGTACCTCTCCAAGATGCTTTTAGTTATGGTGTTTTATTACAGCAATAGAAACCCTAACTAAGACAAATCAGTAGTTTGGCTAGCTGGTCTCACTGAACCAGTAAGCTCCATGTTCAGTAACGGATCATGTTCAGAACATAAGGTGGGCAGCAATAATTGAAGACACCTAAAAATGACCTCTGGACTCCACATACACACATATTAAATGTCTAGGAGGATGACTGCTGTGCTGTATGATAAGTAGATAATTGGTTTTTGAAACTAACTAACTACTTTCAGATGGCTGCATCATTTTACACTTCCATCACTAAATGCATCACAGCTCTATTTCTTTAACATAATTACTAGCATTTGGTGTTGTTACTAATTGTCTTTAGTTACTCTGACAGTTTTACAGTCACAGAACAATAGCATCTTAATGTGAATTTTCCTACGGGTAGCGAAGTTACCCATTTGTCTACACATAAACCAATTGTCAAGCATGGTTTGAAGGTATTTTCTTCCAGCCTAAAGCTTGGTTTGTTCCTTCATCCATTTTTTTTTGTGTGTATGTGTGTGTGAGAGAGAGGGGGGAGGTGAGAGAGGAAGAGAGAGAGTAACAGCCTATCTTTTCTTGTGTCTTCCAAAGAAATTTTTTAACATTTGTTTGTTCAATTTATAGAAATTTTCTTTTGTGGATGATGCTTTTGGCATCATCCCTAAAAGAAGATTTTTCTTCTATGAGTTTTATAGTTCTGCATGTCATTAGCTTTAGTAGTCCTCAGCTGGTGAATATCCATAACTAATTAATAAGGACTATCTGAATCTTTCCGAGAAGAATTTACATAGAAGAATTTACATATATTTTCACTCACATGTCATCAATCAAGATCAAACTTTTACAGGATACCTTTGAGCTCTCGTCCTCTGGTTTATATCTACAATGGATATTCCACAAACAACTCACATAAATGCACATCAAGTTCTCACTTGACTATT